ATTTAAAATGCTACTGGTTTTAATTAAAATTTTGCAGGTTAAAGCAGGAACAGAACTGAGTGGACTTCAGAATGCATTTGACATCTATCTATCTATCTATCTATCTATCTATCTATCTATCTATCTATCTATCTATCTCTATCTATCTATCTCTATCTATCTATCTATCTATCTATCTATCTATCTATCTATCTATCTATCTATCATCTAATCATCATCTATTTGAAAGAAATAGCAAGTAGACTGACCCATCCCACTCTGGTCAGTTTCACAACAGTAAGGGAAGCAGCAACTGAAGGTATCCAAGGGAAGAAGTCTATAGCTCCTCGAAAGACAGCAAGGTACTCCCCTGACTCCAACTGCCTCTCCCCCCACATTCCTTCTTAATCTGCAGATGAATACTAGACATGATGCTTGCATTGGAATTAATGTTCTCTGAATATCAGTTCCCAAGATAGGCTAAGCCTTTATTCTGAGTTTCCCAAAGGCACCTGGTGAGAACAGAAACAAAGTGAGCCTTTGCTTGGATCCAGCACGATAGTTTTACATTGCTATATTCCTTAGTAACTAGCTTTTTTCAATCAGGGAAAATGCAGTGGTGGAGAAGGGAAAAAGACAAAGCAGCAAACAATGTTATTTCCCCAAATGAATGCCAGTTCTGCAAGTTTCTATAGTTGGCTTCCAAGAAAAATTTGGAACAGCCTTCTCTATCCTTGCAGCCTCCAGATATGTAAGACTACAGCACCCATCTCCTGAACCAGCACATCAGGCCTAATCTTGAGAACAAATGGAGGTTCATTCCCAACAACATCTGAAGGGAGAAGACTGTTAAGGAGACTCTTCCAGTTAATATGAACTTGGAAAGATGGTCAGTTGCCAAACTGATGAACCCTTGGCTACTGGCTCAGCATATGACCTTTCAAATTTGCATATAATATTATGAAGATTCTTTCTTATCTGAGAGAAATCATATACTGAGAAAAGAGAGATCTCCATTTGCTCCTGTAGCAAATTCTAAATCTCCAGGCAGTCTTTGTTTTTTTATTGTTTTAATGTGCATGTGCGGAAAATGTGATAACATTCTGGACATAATGCACAGTCTAGTTCATTCGTGTTTTTGAAATTAAACTGTCAAGAGCTATCTTCCCTTGTAGCATTTTAATGACTAATATTTTTGTCATAATACGGCTTGCTAATGCCAACGAATAAAAGAAAATACTACTGTGACCCAGAGAACGCCAATGGAAAATAAAATTTGAAATACTATCACCCCCGCTTTTTATCAGAGTATCAGTATTTTGCAGCAGCAGGTATCTGGGATTTAGTGTTCAAGTGTAAGGTGAAAGATAAGAAACCTCTAAAATAAATCGATGAGTCCCACTCCTTGATTCTGCTTCCCCTAATTATGTTATCGTACCTAAAGCATTCTAAAATAGTAACTTACACCAAGATTTTTCAAGCCGTGTTTCACAGAACTCCGTGAGAACTTGATGAGACTCAGGACAAAAAAACCCACAACCCACACAGACAATTTACTATCACTAGAACTTTGCCTTTTGATCCAGGATTCCAGGATTTTTATTTTTATTTTTTAATAAACAGGTTTTTCAGCTTGAAAAAGTTTGAAAACCCTGACTTAGCCAAGGAAGCCATTCAGGTTCACCTCAGCTTCCTCTCCTGTAATTTGCTAACAAGCCCCCCAGTGCAAACAAGACACAGGACTTGTACGAATAAAAAGCATTTGTCTGGGAAAGAAGATGAAAGATCCATCAAAATCCATTTTGCTTATTCTCATAACTCAAAATTTAGCAAGGGGTTTAACCAATTAACTGCACTTTTCACACCTTTCTGTTGTAAGTGCAAACAAATAGGAGACTTAATGGCCAGGTAATCACCTACCTATTCTGTGATTTATGTTGTGCCATTAAGCACGGAGGGGACCTGTGCTCCATCCCCCCAGGAAGCTCCTGAACCTACATATTTCTTTGAAGTCTAATAATACCCTTTCTGCACATATGCAGATAATCATTCCAAGGCAATTTAAGCTCTGAGTCTCACGTTGACAGTGATGGGCAGTATTAATTAATTTCAAAACTAGGTAGCTACTGTCTTAAAAATTAATTCAGATCCATTTCTATTATAAATCCTTATTGATAAATTAAATTGCACATAATACAACCCTTTCAATTTAGCTCACACTTTAATTTGCTAATGGATTTAAACTGTCTGTCCGATACTTAGAATAAAAACAAGAAGTTCCAAAATCAATTTTGTTGTTTTAGGAAATAACGTTGTATTTCATTATACCCTGATTCTTCTCTTTCAAGCAGAAACAGTTATACCCGAAGACTATCTGGTTGATCCGCTGGCCACAAAGCACTATGGCATTGATCCCTCTGATTCAGCATTTAATTGCATGGGATCCTTGTACTCTATGAGACAGAGTTCTGGAGATGGACGACATGCTGGAGGATCATCGTCCTCTTGCAGTCATCGTTCTGCTCAGATGGCTTCTGGAGGACCATCAACTGCTAGTCTGAGGCATCAAACGTCAAGTCCAACCCGAAATGGAACCACTCTGGAAGGAAACAGAAATGGTAACATAACACATTCCATTTCTTCTGATGATTTTATCATTTTACTGATTTCTATAGTCATGTATCAAGCTTCCTCTTGAGAAAGCAATTGTGTGTGCGATAGATGCCTGCAGATAGCAGTAGGACTGTGGCAACAAAGCTTGACCCCCAACCTTTGTGCAGTACTGTGCAGGGATGGAACCTGTGTGCAGAGGCTGCATGCACGCAGGGCTTATTCAAGCAATCTAATGCACACGAGTACATAGAAGTTACATGTGGTGCTGTGACATAAACCCACACAAATTACATTCTGTATAAGTCACAATTATGAAAGTAACTTTAGATTTCCCCGTAGCTCTTTGGAAAGCTCTGGTGGAAACAATGATTTAGGACTCCAATTTAGTTCCTTTTGATTTTAATGTAAAATTGGAACATTTCTGAAGTTTACACATCTTTTCTTTCTTATACACTGGGTCTCACCAAGATGCTATTTTGTAAAGATGCTGCGCAGCACCAAATGTAGCCTCCTTCTGTGTATGTTCTGCTCTGAGGATGGAAAAAGTAGAGTAGGTGTCTCATACCTGGGGGCTACTAAAGATGCTTGATGGGGTCCGTTAAACATAATTGGACATAGGTTTGTAGACTTGAGGTACTTGTTTAACCTCCATGCAAGTTTCTTTCCCCCTTAATCTTATTATGGAAGAAAATAACATTGTAAATATGAATGTTTAAAAGTTCAGACATGAGATTCAGATATCAACCATCATTTTAAAATAATAATTGAGGGGTTTTTTTCTTTCAAGATGGGGGAAAATTGGATCCGATTTAATAAATTTAGTATTTTTTCCCAGTCATGGAAACTGCAGGCTGAAAGATCTTCTAATCAGTGAAATGCTTCCAAATGAAACATTTAAGGGGAGGGAACTTGAATGCACCTCTTCCAAGGCCAGCAGATCCCCTAAGAGGTCTCAGGATTGAGTTCATGATGTAGAAGAGCTGATATAGCAAAATTTAACCCTATTGCTTAGGATAGTTGGGGAGTTTCAAGCAAACAAAACTGCTGGGTGGAGGGGAAGAAAACACAGAACTTGGCCAGAATGAGTTAGCAAAACGATCATGGAGCAGTAGATCCCATAAGATGTCTCACAGAACCATTTAAGATTGTTCTTTCTACAAGTAACTTATTGTCTTAGCCAATATCTTTTGAGTTAACTTTTACTTTTTAAAAGCTGTTTCCCATGGAGCTCCAGAATAAATTCCACTGAGCCTCCCCATTCATGATATTTCAGGGTGCTTGGATAAAGAGCAGTTGTCACAAGCTTCAGGGACTGAGAAAGAGAACTATACCATTCTACAATTCCTGCCTCTTGTTGAAGAGGAAGAAGTGATGGGTGGTGATGATCATAGATGGGATGAAAGAGCAGAAATGGGATGAAGCAGCAATCTGTCCGGCTCTTAAAAGAAGCATGCTGCTTCTCTGAGGCTTACATTCAGAATGCCATGGAAAGGCTACTATAACTCTTTAAGCCCATTGACAAATATCTGTTTCTGCTGATCCAAGTGGGAACAAATGACGTAGCCAATTACAACCGTCAAGACGCTGCAGGGGTCTATGAAGCACGGGAAAGGAGACCAGAGCAACTGATGGTACAGATGGTGTTTTCTTCACTCCTTCCTAGTAAAGGACATTGTCCAGTAAGAGAGCAGGATGCTGAAAGTGAGCAACGGGTTATGCAAAAGGTGCCAATAGGATTAGATTCTTCAATCATGAGGCCCCTAGCAGAAGATGGGTTGCATCTCATGAGAGCTGGGAAGAACATGTTTGCAGGGTGCCTTACAAACTGAATCTGGAGGGCTGTAAAATGAATCCTGTGGGAGAGGGAGAAAGGAGTCCAGAAATACTGGGAGTGATACACAGAATGTAGAGGTACCCAGCATTGAGCATTAATACACAGAGGAAAATTCTGCAGAGGGGTCAATGTTATTCCAAAAAGCAGGGGGGGGGGAGAGGATTCAAGTAATTACAGAGTAGCCAGCTTGCCATCAATATCCCACAAAACTCTGGAATAAATTATTAAGCAGTCAGTTGCCAGCATTGGTTTATCAAAAAGAAGTCATACTAAACCATTCTGATCTCCTTTTTGAATAGAGTGACCAGTTTAGTTGACCACAGGATTGCAGTGGACATATTGTAGCTTGACATTTGCGAAGCATTTGACAAAGTTTCCTTTAAAAGATAGGAAGGATAGCAAAACATTAGATGGACATAGAGCTAATTGAACAGATGTGCCTAACACATGTACATTAATGGATCCATGTCAAGCTGGAAGGAGGTGATGAATTCTATACTTCAGGGCTCTGTTCTAGGCTTTGTATGGTTTAGCATATTTATAAAAGACTCGGATAAGGTGTTAAAAATACGATGATCAAATCTGTGGATGACACAAAGATAAGCAAGATAGCAAAAACCTTAGAGAACAATATTAGGACTCAGAAGCATCTGGACAAACTGGAAGAATGGGCAGAATCCAACAAGATAATACAAAGTCCTTCATTTAGGTAGGAAAATCAAAGGCCTGAGTATAGGATGGGGAAAACCATATTGGGCAGGTCTTAGGCAGCAGTGCATAGGAAAAGGATCTGGTCATCTATGAGAAGGGTGAGGGGAGACATGCTATCTTTCTTCAAGTTCCTGAAGTATAGGTACTTCAGTATTATTACAGAAGACAAGGCAAAAAACAATGGGTTTAAATGAAAAGGAAATAGATTTTGGTTGTACATCCGGAAAAATGTCCTAATGGTAAAGTGTTCAAGAGTGGAACAGTTGACCTCAGGAAGCGGTGGACTCTCTAGTTCTGGAAGTGTTGAAACAAAGGCTGGATGACCATCTGTTGTAGTATTGAGTTCTTACACTGGGCAGTGGCTAACTGATTAAGGGCCTTTTCAATTCTTATGTGCTATGATTCTACAAAGTCCTTGGCACTATCTATTTCTCCTTCTAATTTATTCACAAGCGTAGATAATCCCTAATATTTTAAATATGATTTTTTTTTGCATATAGTGCAAAAACTGTTTAGTTAATGGTAGCTTGCTGTAGTTTTCCACTTCTCATTAATCTTGAAATTGTAAGTAGAATATTTTTGTTTATATTCTACTGAATCTTCCTGGATTTGATGGCTGGTGTGGGTCTTCCGGGCTGTGTGGCCGTGGTCTTGAAGTTTTGTTTCCTAACGTTTCGCCAGCACCTGT